TTGATGTGCTGTTGCAGTTGGTTTGCCAATATTTTATTGAAGATTTTTGCATCTATGTTCATCATGGATATTGACCTGAAGTTTTCTATTCTTGTTGAGTCTCTGCCAGGTTTTGGTATCAGGATGATGTTGGTCTCATAAAATGATTTTGGAAGGATTCCCTCTTTTTGGATTTTTTGGAATAGCTTCAGAATGAGTGCTACTAGATCCTCAGTGTATGTCTGGTAGAATTTAGCAGTGAACCCATCTGGACTTGGGCTTTTTTTTGGTTGGTAGGCTATTAATTGCTGCCTCAACTTCAGCCCTTGTTATTGGCCTATTCAGGGTTTTGACCTCTTCCTAGCTTAGGCTTGGGAGGATACAAGTGTCCAGGAATTTATCCATTTCTTTCAGGTTTACTGGTTTATATGCATAGAATTGTTTGTAGTAATCTCTGATTGCAGTTTGTATTTCTATGGAATCTGTGGTGATATCTCCTTTATCATTTCTTATTGCATTTATTTGATTCTTCTCTCTTTTCTTTTTTATTAATCCAGCTAGTGGTCTATTTTGTTGATCTTTTCAAAAAATCAGCTCCTGGATTTATGTATTTTTGAAGAGTTTTTTTGTGTCTCTATTTCCTTCACTTCTGCTCTGATCTTAGTTATTTCTTGTCTTCTGCTAGGTTTTGAGTTTTTTCGATCTTGCTCCTCTAGCTCTTTCAATTCTGACAATATGGTGTCGATTTTAGATCTTCCCTTGCTTCTCATGTGGGCATTCATTGCTATAAATCTTCCTCTAGACACTGCTTTAAATGTGTCCCAGAGATTCTGGTATATTGTGTCTTTGTTCTCGTTGTTTTTGAAGAACATCTTTATTTCTGCCTTCATTTCATTGTTTATCCAGTCAACATTCAAGAGCCAGTTGTTCAGTTTCCATGAAGCTGTGTGGTTCTGAGTTAGTTTCTGAATTCTGAGTTATAACTTGATTGCATTGTGGTCTGAGAGACTGTTTGTTACGATTTCCATTCTTTTTCATTTGCTGAGGAATTATTTACTTCCAATTATGTGGTCAATTTTAGAGTAGGTGTGATGTGGTGCTGAGACGAATGTATATTCTGTGGATTTGGGGTGGAGAGTTCTGTAAAAGTCTGTTACGTTTGCTTGGTCCAGATCTGAGTTCAAGTCCTGGCTATTCTTGTTAATTTTATGTCTCACTGATCTGTCTGATATTGACAGTGGAATGTTAAAGTCTCCCATTATTATCATGTGGGAGTCTAACTCTCTTTGTAGGTCATTAAGAACTTGCTTTATGTTTCTGGGTGCTCCTGTATTGGTTGTGTATATATTTAGGATCGTTAGCTTTTCTTGTTGCATTGATCCTTTTACCATTAAGTAATGCCCTTCTTTGTCTGTTTTCATCTGTGTTGCTTTAAACCTTATTTTACCAGAGACTAGCATTGCAACTCCTGCTTTTTTTTTTTTTTTTCTCTCCGTTTGCTTGGTAAATCTTCCTCCATCCCTTTATTTTGAGCCTATGTGTATCCTTGCACATGAGATGGGTTTCCTTGATGCAGCACACTGATGGGTCTTGACTTTTTATCCAATTTGCCAGTCTGTGTCTTTTGATTGGGACATTTAGCCCATTTACATTTAAGGTTAATATTGTTATGTGTGAAGTTTATGCTGCCAATTTGATGCTAGCTGGTTGTTTTGCCCTTTAGTTGATGCAGTTTCTTCATTGTGTCAATGTCTTTCCCATTTGGTATGTTTTTGGAGTTGCTAGTACTGGTTGTTCCTTTCTATATTTAGAGCTTCTTTCAGGAGCTCTTGTAAGGCAGGCCTGGTGGTGATGAAACCTCTGAGCAATTACTTGTTCATAAAGGATTTTCTTTCTCCTTTGCTTGTGAAGCTTAGTTTGGCTGGATATGAAATTCTAGGTTGAAAGTTCTTTTCTTTAAGGATGTTGAATATTGGCCCCCACTCTCTTCTGGCTTGTGGGGTTTCTCCCAAGAGATCTGCTGTGAGTCTGATGGGCTTCCCTTTGTGGGTAACCCAACCTTTCTGTCTGCCCTTAGCTTTTTTTTCTTCATTTCAAACCAGGTTAATCGGACAACTATGTGCCTTGGGGTTGCTCTTCTTGAGGAATATCTTTGTGGTGTTCTCTGTGTTTCTTGGATTTGATTGTTGACCTGCCTTGCTAGGTTGGGGAAGTCCTCCTGGATAATATCCTGAAGAGTGTTTTCCAGCTTGGATTCATTCTCTCTGTCACATTCAGGTACACCTATCAAACGTAGATTAAGTCTTTTCACATAATCCCATATTTCTTGGAGGCTTTGTTCATTTCTTTTTATGCTTTTTTCTCTAATCTTGCCTTCTCATTTTATTTCATTGAGTTGATCTTAAATCTCTGATTTCCTTTCTTCTGCTTGGTTGATTCGGCTATTAAAACTTGTATATGCTTCGCAAAGTTCTCGTGTTGTGTTTTTCAGCTCCATCAGGTCATTTATATTCTTCTCTATGCTGTTTATTCTCATTAGCATTTCATCAAACCCTTTTTCAAGGCTCTTAGTTTGTTTGCATTGGGTTAGAACATGTTCTTTTAGCTCAGAGAATTTTGTTATTACCCGCTTTCTGAAGCCTGTTTCTGTCAATTCATCAGACTCATTCTCCATCCAGCCTTGTTCCCTTGCTCTTGAGGAGTTGTGATCCCTTGTAGGAGGAGAGGCCTTCTGGTTTTGGGTGTTTTCATCCTTTTTGTGCTGGTTTCTTCCCATCTTTGTGGATTTATCTACCTGTGATCTTTGTAGTTGGTGACTTTCGGATGGGGGTCTCTGAGTGGATGTCCTTTTGGTTGCTGATGAAATTATTTCTTTCTGTTTCTTAGTTTTCCTTCTAACAGTCAGGCCCCTCTGCTGTAGGACTGCTGGAGGTCCACTCCAGACCCTGCTTGCCTGGGGATCACCTGCAGTGGCTGCAGAACAGTAGGGGTTGCTGCCAGTTTCCTCTGTTATCTTTGTCCCAGAAGGATACTCATCAGATGTCAGCCTGAGCTCTCTTTATGAGGTGTCTCTTTGGATATACGGGGATTGGGGAGCTGCTTGAGGAAACAGTCTGTCCCTTATAGGAGCTCAAGTGCTGAGCTGTGAGCTCTGTTGTTCCGTTCGGAGCTGTTGGGCAGGTACGTTTAAGTCTGCTGCAGCAGAACTCATAACCACCTTTTTTTTCCCAGGTGCTCTGTCCTGGGAAGGTGAGGCTTTATTTATAAGTTCTTGACGTGCTGCTGCCTTTTTTTAGAGATGCCCTGCCCAGCAAGGAGGTAGCCTAGTCATGGTCTGCTAGCAGAGGCATTGCTGAGCTGCTGTGGACTTTTCCCAGCTGTTATGTGAACTTCCTTGCCGTTTTGTTTATAGGGGTATTGTTAGAACTGCCTCAGTAATGGCGGTATACCTCAGTAATGGCGGACTACTGAGGCAGTGGTGGACTGCCTCGGTAATGGCGGATGCCCTTCCCACCACAGAGCTGGATCATCCTGGGTCCAGCTGTGCTTGCTGTGAAACTCTCAATCCAGAGCGTTTCAGATTGCTGGTCTTTGTGGGGGTGGGACCCGTCGAGCCAGATCACCTGACTCCCTGTTTCAGCCCCTTTTTTTTCAGTTGAATAGGCGACTCTGTCTCCCAGGCGTTCCAGGCACCAGTTGAAACAGCCATCCAGATTTGTGTGAGTTTTTGTGCAGAGACCCACTGTGCCAGCTGAAACAGCCATGCTGGAGACTCGTGGTGCTTTTCTGCTCAGTAATCTCCTCGTCTGTGGGCAGTAAAAACTCATTTGGACATGCAGTGATCACTTACCCTCTGCATTCTCGCTGGGAACTGCACTCCAGAGCTCTTCCTATTCAGCCCTCTTGGATCCCTCTCCCCCTTTATTTCTTTTCTAAACAGGTGGAGGATGCAGTTTAATGAAATGAGAATTAGCAAGTTTATATTCTTTATAACCAAGTTTTGTGACATTAAGCATTCCTAGAAATAGTTTTAATCTTTTCAGTATATATGCATGAATCTGTTTTTATTAATTTGGTCATATTATAATGAAACAGATCATCTGTGTTCACTCAAATGTAGAAGTGCTTTATGATACCAGTACCTAATTTCTGTACCACCTAGTGAGCTAGGAGAGAGAAAGAGGGAAACCCCTTCCCTGCCTTAGTGAGTGGCTCTACAGAGGCAGGATGTTTGTCTGCCAGATTTTCTCATTGATACTAGATCTAGTCTCTAAGTTAGTGGGCAAAGGGTAGAGAAAGTGGGAAGTCTGTTCTTTTCCTCAAACAAAGGCGGGAACCACCATGAGTTAAAATCAAGTTAGAGTCGTCTTAGCACAGCCCCATCTGCCTCTCCCCCAGTTTTGTCTAGTATGGTCAGAGCATGGCATTATATTTTCTCTCTGTATCTTTTATGCAATTGTTGGGAAAATAAGGAGTGATAGAGACTGTTTGCTCAATATCATTTTATCAGATGTTCTCTAAATGTTCAGGGCATCCAGCTGATTGATTTTGTTTGCTTTATCCAGTTGTTTAAGCATGCAATATATTACATTAGGATCACAAAATAAGTTAACATCATCTTTTAAATATGCTTAATTGACAGATCTTCCATTTAAAAAAAGACAGCAAGTAGTGAAAATAATAAATTAGATTATGAATATTGGGTCTCTGGTTTACCAAGTCCTCTAGGCCCTTCACTTAGGATTTCTGTTTTTTAGCTATTATTTCAGTAGTCTGGAGGAAATAACTGTTCTGCGGATCTTAATTTAGATTACAGAGATGATGAATTCCAACAAATATAATAGAATATCTTTAAAGGCTTTGGTCACAGTTTCTATACAGTACACCACATAACACTAAGCACACTTAGATATGTGACCTTGTTTTTGGCAAATTGAGCACTCTGGTTTTGTTCAATGTAATTATTTTTTATCTCACCACTGTCTGTTTTATTTTGCATTTTGTTTGTATTTTTGTTACAGCTATTTCACTCAATTCAGAGAACCTGTCTGGACTTATCGAAAGCAATTGTACTCTATCAAAAGAGGATATGTTGTAAGTATGACATCAGTATGAATATTGATCAGATAGACAGTAAGAGATAGCAGGGTATTTTGTCTTAATATATCATTAATATGTTTAAGAAACTAAGGGTGTTTGTCCCTGTCTTTAGGCAGTTGGGAAGAGAATCTCTAATAATTTTACCAATAATATACATAGCTTGTTTATCTTACAAAGCAAGTGTCATATTAGGATAATTCTGTATTGGATCTCCCATGGATATAGCCGTTTATTTTCCCAATTATAAAAGAGTTTTCTCTGCATCTTGGGCTTTTTAATTTCAGTGGTTTTTTTATGTGATTATCTTCACTCTCTTATATACAGTTATGTTCCTTTTAAGATGACAAACTGAGACAGAAGGCACATAGAGTTAATTTTTTTGGTGATATTTTGTTGACAGCATTTCTTTATGAATGTTTTTTGCATTGGATATTAGGTTTCTACAGAACAATATTTTTATATAATCACCTTGTCTTAAAAGCATTAACAACAAAATTATCTCTGAAATACTAAATGTCAATTATGTGTTAGTACATGTTTTAAGTCTCCATTTGTAGGTCATTTTAATTATGTAATCTCTATATTTTTGAGACTAGACTATGGGAATTCTTTCTGTTGCTGACTGCTACCAAACCCCTTTTCAGTAATCACAAATTAATAATTGTCCATTTTTCTACATCAGTAATATTTTATTAAGACAATCATTTTGGTAGGCTGGGTGCAGTGGCTCACATCTGTAATCCCAGCATTTTATAAGGCCGAGGCAGGAGGATCACTTGAAGCCAGGAGTTTGAGACCAGCCTAGGCAACAAAGTAAGACCCCATCTCTAAAAAAAAATAAAAATACCTAAAAATTAGCTGGGCATGGTGGCATGTGCGTGTAGTCCCAGTTACTCGGGAGGCTGAGGCAGGAGGATCACAGTGACCTATAATGAGCCATTGTACTCCAGCCTGGGCGACAGAAGGTTACTGTCTCTTAAAAAAAAAAAGAAGAAAGAAAGAAAAAAAAAATCAACTACTTTGGGAAAGTTCAAAATCATTGTACATTGAGGGACAGTATTTTATAAATTATCTATGTCACTCTATCCTAAGTGTTTGAGCTAACAGTTCTCCAGAGCTCCAATTCCAGGTCTTAATCTATGAGAAAATTAAGACACATGACTGCCATGCCCCCATTTATGATGGAAATCACATCTAGTCAGTCCCAAATGCTGGGTTTTTGCCCCTAAATAGCTCTCAGATTCCCCTTCCTCTCTCTGTCTTCTCTGCCACTACCTCGGTTCAGGCCACCACCATTACACTCTCACTTGATTTACTAAATCAGCCTCCTCACTGATCTTGCCTACACCCCTGCTTTCTCTCGCCCATTGTCTGCACTGCCATCAATCAAAGTAGACTTTTAAACCCGACAAGATTCTTCCTTGGCTTAAAACTTGTGTTCTGGGAACAATTGGTCAGACTCCTTCTAACTATACCCACTGTCCCCCAGTACTCACCATAAAATGAATCATTTTCTTTCTTATGGTAGAAAACAAAATAGTTTAGAAAATTCTAACTTTAATTTTTTAAGTATGTCACAGGAAGTTGGTGTATCTGCTTTTTATTAAGCAATACATATTTTAACAAAGAAAAAAGATTCTTGCCTATTTCCTGTAAACAGTGATTCTCTAAATAGAAGTTGTACTTTCCACCTATGTTAATGTTTCTAAAAGAATATAGAGAAAAAATTTCCTCCTAAACCACCTCAGATTAGTTAATAGAATTATAATTGAACACCATCAGGGCTCATAATTGTCTTGCAATATAAAGGGTTAGAATAATGTCCCCTTCCTTGAAGCAGTCACCTGGTTGTGCCGGCAGAGCTGGCTGTGGATGGTGGGTAAGCCCTTTTATCTACCCGCTAAGCTCATATGAGCCATGCCATCTCAGTGGAGATGAGAAGGAGGAGTTCTGCCCTGCTTGGACCTGAAAGAGATCCCAACTTTAAGGAAGACCAAAAATAGTGTGGTTAATTTGAGAGTGTTGCCATGTAGCTGTCAAAGAAAAAAAAAAAAGAGGAAAATCTCTGAACTAATATGGAGTGACTTTAAGGATATGCTTTTAAGTGAAAGAAGCAAAACATAAAAGGGTATCTATAGTATACTATCCATGCAAGCAGGAAGGTGATATAGAATATAAATGTAAAAAAAAGATAATGCATATATATATAGTGTGTGTGTGTGTGTATTACCATTATTATGTTATATTACATTTTACCATCTATATCTATATCTATATCTACATCTATATCTATATTGAGAGAGTGAGCCTGCTCATTGTGCAAAGGAAATTCAGGAAGCATAAACCAGAAATGAAAGAGATTGGATACCAGTGGTGGGTGGGGATAGGGGAAGGGTTGGAAAGGAGGGAATGAGAATGGAGGAGCAAAGGTGAGGAGGGAGCTACACCTTCCTGAGATACCTTCCCGTAGCTTTGATTCCTAAAACCATAGTAAAGTTTCATATACTCAAAAAATACTTAAACCTAGCCAGATGTGGGAAAATCTAAAATGAAATACAAACAGTAACAAATGAACTTAATTGCATTATAAATAAATAACATTGTCACAATGACCAGAGTTTAGAAAAAGAACTAACCTCAGTAGTTTTGGAACATAATTATTTTTGACTGGACACTGAGGCTAAACACAAAAAGAATTATACATGGAAACCGTATTCTCATTGGGAAATTTGTTTCTTAGAGAAGTGTGAGTTAGCAGTGCTGAAACTACATTATGCAAATATTGAAGTTGAACAGATAAGTAAAGATATTGTAGATGATGAGAGCCAGGTTTCTCACTCTCTACATTAGAAATAAGTTGCGGAAAAAGAAAGGGAGAAGCTAAAAGGAACACTATGGTTTTGCACTGGCATCAAAGGTGCCACTATGAAGTCATTGTTTTTAATATCTATACAGATAGCTATACACAGAAACAAATGCAGATGAGCGTGTATGCATGGGTTACTGTACATTCGTATATTTCCTGTTTCTGTGAGCTGACATAACCTAGAAGCACTAACACTCCATAACAGTGAACTCATCTGGCACCCAGATCTTGCTTTCTAAATACCTTTTCCCAATAAAAGAAATGCTCCTTGGAGAAGTGGTTGATTCTAGGATTGGAGCAGGGAAAATTCAAGATGCACCTGTGTTATTTGTAACACTAGAACATAAGGAAGTGCTTGAAAAAGGATGTGTCGAAAGGACACAGGAGCAAACCTGTGATCAAAGCTGGCACAATTTGAGCAACAAATTAAATAATGGTAATATTAAATTATAACCCATAGAATAAAATTAATTTCTCTTAAGTCTCTATGAAGAGAGAGTGATAAATGGTGGAGAAGAGACAGCTTTTACTTATAAAATAAATTCAGTTAATTAATAGAAAGAATGAGAGAACTACAAAATCACCCATAGATAAACATCACAGTGAGAATTATGACAGGTGAGATTCACTGAAGAGTGTTACAATTAGGAAGTGAAAGTTTGAGGAGAAAATGGACATTTGCATCATCTCATATATTCCCCTCCCCAAGATTTTTAATGATTATTAAAGGAAAAAACCATTCTTAACTTTACAGTGGAAAAACCCAGTAGATACCTCCTTCACCAAGTGATTGAGGTTGACATCATCAATGATGAGGTCCACTGATGTCATGTAACCTCTGATGACATGCACTAAGAAAGACACTTCACCACTGTGTATCCTTCCCAAATATCTATAACCCCAGTCTGATTCTGAGAAATCAGACAAACCCAAACTGAGGAACAGTCTACAAAATATCTGACCAGTATTCTTAAAATCTGTCAAAGTCATGAAAGATAAGAAAGACTGAGGAACTGTCACAGATTTAAGGAGACTAAGGAAACTCAATATTTTGATGCCTGGTGAGACCCTGGATCGGATCCTGTAACAGAAAAAGAATGTTAATGGAAAAACTGGTAAAATTTAAATAAGGGCTGTATGTTAGTTAACAGTATTGTGCCAATGTTAATTTCCTAGTGTTGATTATTGTACCATGATTATGTAAGATGTAAATGTAAGGAGATGCTAGGGAAAGGTAAGTACTAAGCGATGTTAAGGAAAGGTATACAGGAACTTTATATACTGTTCATAATTTTTCTGTAAGTCTGTCATTATTTCAAAATAAAAGGTTTAATAAATGTAAATTGGATCACATCACTCCCCTACTTTTAAAAGACTCCAATAGCACATAAAATGGAATCCGACTCCCATTCTTATACACAGGACATGATCTGGCCCCAGTTCACCTTTTCAGCCACCTTTTCCCTTGTCCACCAAACTCTCAATGCCTTTTGCACCGGATGTTTCCACTGCCTGGAAGGACCCTGCTCTCATAGTCCCAAGACTATTATCCTTCAGAGCTCGGCCTAATAGTCACCTGCTCAGAGATGCCTTCCCTGGTTTCCTTGTCTAAGGCAGCTACTGACCACTCACTCTTACTCCCCATCTCTCATTGCTCTAGCTGGTATTTCTCTTTTTTGTGTTTTGTGATTATGTATGTTTTATTTTCTATCTCCTGCTGCTTGAATATAAGCTCTGTAAGTGTGGGGAACTCCTGTATCCTCTTCATCACTGTATTCTAGTGGCAAGAATGGTGCCTCCTATGTATTGGATCACCCATAAATCTGTGCTGAGTGAGTTAATGCTGTCAGGCTAATTGATTTCATAGTTCCACAGTTGACTTGTTTTTAAGGGCACATCTGAAAATTTAATCAGCAATTAAATATAAAAATGTTTTTTGTCTCTGAATTCTCAAGTCCCAGATAATTGAAACCTTATTAATAGAACATTTTGAGTTACCTTTTTTTATTTTTACTTTCTTCTTGTAATAGAGGCGGGGGTCTTGCTGTGTTCCCCAGTCTGGTGTTGAACTCCTGGTCTCAAGTGGTCCTCCTACCTCTACCTCCCAAAAGTGCTGGGACTGCAGGTGTGAACCACCACACCCAGCCCTTTTGAGTTATCTGATACTTACATTATACCTGAATTTTAAACTTCTATAAGTTAATTTCAGTATTTGAATTTTTTAAATTAAAGAATGATCATCCCTTCTTAGAAAATCTAACCTTGAGCCTGATGGAGCTCACCTTCTTTCCACTGTCCTCTGAGTAAGTACTGCCTATTAATCAGAGTCAGCACCTAAAATGAAACCTGTTTGCTGCCCCAAGTTAATCCTCAATGCCTAAAATAACCCCAAATTATTTTTAAATCCTTTAGCCTACTTAGGTTTATTTAGGAAAGAGTACATTTTACCAACCATGTAATCATTCAGGTACACGAATTGGTTACTTCCTAGCCTTAAGCTAAATGCATTCATTTGTATGTGACTAGAGACTTAAGGTAAAAAGGGTGACAGTAGCCTCATGCTATTAAGAACATAAATGAGAAATTGCTCTCCATAGGGAAAGGTTCACTGTGGAATTGAGTGAGGTGTATATTAGTCAGTGGGGAGGAGAAGGAATGGAAGGTATTTTAAAAAAGAAAAAAATCATTCTTATAATTATAGGAATTTTAAAAAGCTACATAGAACCATGGCATAAGTATTAAATGGCAATAAGCATTTAAACTGAAATAAAGTGTATGAGGATAACAAGACAAAATTATAGTTAATTCAATTGACAAGCATTTAATTAACACCATGAATATAAGACTTTATACTCAGCCTGGGGATTACAAAGTTTGGGTGAGATCCCTGTCTTGGAAAGCTTAGAGCCTCCTGAGAAAGAGAGACACATACCAGTCACTCACGGTGAGTGCTAAGTTAGGTGCCCAGAGGGCGCTGCTGTCCAGAGAAATAGGGATCAATTACTTCACAGAGGAAGGAAGCTGTGAGCAGGCCTTTGACAGTGAACTTGATTTTTGAGAGACAGAAGAGAAGCAGGGTCATCATTTATCTCTTAGGAAAAATAGATTCTAAAAGCCTCTTCTTGAATAGGCCTTCCCAAGGGACTGTTCAGAGTGAACTGTAGTCACAAATTAATAAGGTGGCAGTATCGAGTTTAGCCTTCACCTTTGGATTTGTGGTTCCTGCCTAATGTTCTACAGTTATTGTTGGTGAGATTGTTTCAGGAATGGGGGTGCATTCATAAATAAAAGTCTGACTGGTTTGTGAAAACTGACAAGAATCCTAGTAGCATTTGGAAAGCAGTTTTAGAAACACATGACGTGTAAATGCGTCAATACAGAAATGGGAAATAAAAAGTGATGTTCAAAGTATGTTGATAGTAAATGCTGTGTTTAGGGGAAAAGCACATTTTAGGAAGCTAAGTGTCACTCTGGTGCCTGTGGCTTGGCTGCTGGTGTGTGTTCAGGACTCACACTGTGCCATTATGTGGGTGCTCTGTATTTTATTAAACTAGCACCTAGTATAAGGAGAATGCTTTACTATTATAAATAATGATGCTGTGGTTATTTTTGAATTTACATCTTTGTGCCCATTTTACTACTTCCTTAGGAAATACTCCTAACAGAAGTGCAGTGTCCAAAGATACATGCAATTCTAAGATTTTTTAAATATTTACTGTCCAATCACTTTGTAGAAAGCTTGCACCCAGACCACTTTCCCACCAATAATACCATCTGAGGTTATCTTTAAAAATAAGGCCAAGATTCGACATCACTAAGTCAGATTTGGTTCCACCTCTGCATTTTTAAAACCCACTGTCATCAACCTGATGACCTCCCTACCCTCAATCCCTACCCCCTCTTCCAACCAAAAACCTGTGTCATGGCTGAGGTATTTGAATTGCTTTACAATCGAATAGAATGTAACTGAAAAAGCAGAGATCAAAAGTCAGCAGGAGAGAATAATGGAAGGCAGCTACCACTGCATCCTAGGCAGCCACAAAAGATTCCCACAGTCATACTTGACAAACCCAACTCCTTTATTTCAGCTCAAAGCAGCACATTATGGGCTCGCTTTTCAGTACAGAGGTCATTTTCTGGTTCTGATTACAGGGCACCAAACTCACTGACAGATGTATTCAAGTGAATTTGATCTGTCGTATTGTAAATGGAAGAACAGCATGAAAGTTAAATGGGGGATAGGGGGAGCTTACCTTGTAGCCTGCCACTTGGATTTAATTTCATCTTGTCTTGGCCTCTGGAAGAGAGAGAACCTTGGGATTTGTCTTTCTTGTTCCCTTTGTAATAAAAATGCTCATTGTTCATGGCTCCTTTTGGTCTTTTCTTCATCAGTCTTGTCTCAAGAAGAAAACGAACTGGGAAAATTTCTCCGATCCCAAGGCTTCCAAGATAAAACCAGAGCAGGAAAGATGATGCAAGCGACAGGAAAGGCCCTCTGCTTTTCTTCCCAGCAAAGGTGTGTGGCCTTCAGTGGGGCTCTATCTGGGGGGATCTGAGGGGACTTTGGGACCCACCTACTCACCCAGGGGAATCTCGGTGTTCTTTAGAAGGAGTTTGCCTGAGGCTGAGGAGCTGCTCAGAACTCACTAGTTTGTACTTAGCTCTCTAATTAAGATTAACTTGTAGGATTTTTTTTTCTCCCTGTTAATTAAATTTTTTTCCATTTTTCTTTTGGTCTATAGGGGCATTATATATGCCAATCACTATGAGTGCTGTCCTAGGCTTATGTTTGACCTTCAGTGTTGCTCAGAGCAATCACCCTGGTCCCCTTCCAGCAGCTGATTAAAGCAGGAGCCTAATGAGACCAGGTTGAAGAGTTCCCTCTCTGCTCTTTGTGGGCCAATTAACTTCAGAGAGGTGCTGTTCTCATGCCCAGGTCCACACTGCTCAGACCCCAGACCAGTAGCATGACCTGGGAGTGTGTTAGAAATGCAGAATCTAGGCCCCACCCCAGACCTGCAGGATCCACATCTGCACTTTAACAAGATCCCTGTAGTTTTGATGTGCATTCAAGTTTGAGACACTCTGGTCCAGGGAAAATTGTGGTAGATGAGTGGTGTTTTTTTTAACAGAACTGTGACTCATGTTTATGATGGATGTTAAATAAGCAGGAGCCCCTGTACACAGTCTCTCTGCACCTGGGAAAGGTGACACTCCTCCTCGCTTCCTTCTCTCTCAGTAACTAACAGACCCCCAAAATGTCACCCACTAATATTAGGCAGAAGGTAGGTCGTTCCCAAAAATATTCAGGCTATAGCAATTTCACTCACTCAAATTGTCCAGCGTTTTCTTCTCCTACTAATGTCTCCTTGCTGCTTTCCCTCTGTGTGAGCCAAGAGCAGGCCAGCAGCATGTTACATGGTTGTTCCTATGAAAACCCAAGGAAGATGGAGTAGGAAGAAAGAGACCTACTGAGTCCGTTTTTTAGTTGTGTCTCCTTCTGGGCATTTTCGTTCTTTCTGATGACATTTGGACCCTGAATCTGAGGAATGCCAACTTTTATGCTTGAATGAAACCATTTCTGGTAGTTCTCCACACATTTCCCAAGAAAGATATTTGTTTATCATCTTAAATCTTACCTTTTACTATTATTTATAATTTTTCTATGTAAAAATACTTATTCTAGAAAAATTTCAAAGCAGAGACAAGCCAAAGGGTGAAAATTAAAAAGCAACTAAAATTTTACTAATAGAGATGATCTACTTTTAACCCCTTAATAGATACTTTCTATGCATATAGAAGCTTTTCCAACCTTGCAAGAATAATTGGTTCCTAAAAAATATTTCATAGAGTATGTTGTCACATATTAAGCATATAATTATCACTAACCTCAGTAAGAAAAATTCTTAGGCAAAGAAAGAGAAAAAAGACTCTAGAAATTAAAACAGATTCCTTAGAGAGATAGCTGAGGACTCTTTTATCTCTTTAAACAGAAGTCATCAGTTATACAAACCTTTACACCACTGTTTGTTTTACTGACTTATTTGGCAGTCATTGCTACAACCACACATTGTATTTGATGAAAGGTGAGTATTAAATTAAAACAACAGGGGAAACAAGCTGATTTTATGGCACAACAATGTCTAAAAATAATCTGCAACATCTAGGCAGGACAATGTGAGCAGGCTGTTCTTCTACAAGTGCTCACTATTTGAAAATAATACTTTACAGACAAGAAGAAAACTAGGGGAAATAGTAAAATGAATTTTGTTCTTGATAGTTCATTGCACCACTTGTAATCTTATCGTGTTATACACATGTAAGGCGTTGTAGGCATTGATGGAATTTCCAAAAGCTGACTTCAGCTCACTGACACCATTGTTCCCTTTAGCTAAATAAGTCTGCATTTCAATTGAAATTTAAATATTCATTTTTTGGGGCACCTGTGCCCTGAAACTTCATGGAGAAGAGCATATTTTAAGTGTATAATTCATCTGACATTGCTCATTTTGGTTAGGGAGACCGAAGAAGCAGTATTTTTCCCCAAGATAAATATTTTATCTAAAGTTTAATATGCCTAAACGTTTTTTGGCTGGGTAAATGGCATATGTTATGGCCAACCTTACAATAATTTTATACCTACTTCATCATGTTCATTTCTGTTATGGTATCCTCCAGTCTTTTTTTTTTTTAACAAGGATTAAATCATGTAATCTAGTTGAAAGTGCTAATACATGATAGACTCTCAGTAAATGTGTTTGTCCCCCTTCCTATACCATTTCAAAATGTTTCTGTTCATATTTCATTCCTCTGTGACTATTGGAGTGAGCAGCAGATGCCTTGGCCTTTGGAGAGTGATCTAAAATGGCCTAGACAGAGAGACACTAATCACACACTTCATCCCTCCTCAAAGGGCCAAGTGTAGAAATGGGCAGTGGTCATGCCTTGACCATCCTCCATGAATACAGAATTGGCTCCAGCTTCAAATGAGCACTCAGCCCAGGCTCAAAACCACCCCGAACAATGCTGACGGAGGTGCTTCCAAGCGGTCCAGTTACTAGAAGTAAACTAAGGGATGGGTACATGAGTAATCATCTCTGGCTGACTCATCGGTTCACATGCATTTCAATTATTATTCATCAAATATTAATGGAGCATCTTCTACATTCCACGCACTGTTCCAGACTCATGAGTCTAAGATTGGCAGAATGTCAAGGATTTAAATTGCTCACTAGCTTAGTTTTGAGAGTGTGGCTTTGTCCTCTTGTCTAGGTTGGCCTTGCGAAATCCTTTGTGTCGATTTCATCAAGAAGTGGAGACTTTTCGGCATCGGGCCATCTCAGATACTTGGCTGACAGTGAACCGCATGGAACAGTGCAGGACGGAATATAGAGGAGCACTATTATGGATGAAGGACGTGTCTCAGGAGCTTGATCCAGACCTCTACAAGCAAATGGAGAAGTTCAGGAAGGTAGGAAGTTTTATGAGGGTTACCAGAAGGGGTACCTGCTGGAAGGTAATGAGGTGTGATTTGAAATCCCTCTAGTGAAGAAGACATAACTCAAAAGCACCAAGGATGCAATTAATCATCACTGGTGTCTTTTTATGTGACAGAATACCAATTAATGTGATATATAATTCTCCAAGGATAAGAGAGAAGAGACAGCTGGAAATTGCTGGGATTTTGTAACTGCTTTTAATTGAAGTCAGATTTTCTTATAATGTGCACTTTTTGTAAGGTTGTCACTTTTAAATGCCTTTTCATGCATAACTAAAAATCAAGATCACATTAATCTAGGAGGTGAGAACAGACTACTGGGGAAATCTTTAAAATTGCTAATGCATATTAAAATTAATAGAATAATAATTCTCCTTTGTTTTGTGACATGTTCAGAAGCGATGAGGTTTACTTGCAGGATTAATTGATGGAGCATTCCTTAGAAATTTCTCTGAGGAAAATAGGTGGCTGAAGAGATGACTATGCTCTTAAAATTCACTGAAATAATTGGTGGGCAGCAAAGAACAATCTTGTTTTTTAATTATCTTGTGTCAATTTAGCAGTTTGATTTGGTCATACAAGAATACATCACACCACTAGGTGGCAGTCTTACACTAAATATTTATGAAAATGTAGCGAGATTTTCATCGTGTACAATCTCAGTAGTTCTTTGTTTGGTCGCCTGGATATATTTCAGGGTGTGAAAGAAAAAGAATCAGCCAAATGTTAGGCTTGACATAATATTGTGTCAACTGTCTTACTCATTTCCAATGATCCATTTGTAATTGTGATGTTGCTTAAAATCCCTAGATTTCTTATTACATACATTATTTCAAGGTACAAATAGAAGCATCACTTGCTTTGGAGGTTGGCTGTGTAGGGGTGGAGGGAAGGAGGAGCCTTCTGGTGCTTAAGAATACGGTCACCAATTCTTGACCTAGATGTAGATTGATTCCCTTAAAGTCATTTTATTTTGGTGTGTGATTTAGACCCCTTCCCTCTGAAGAGAAACCAGGGTTCACTTTACTTCTGATCACAGATGTCCTTCATGTGTCAGCAACATCCGACTTCTTCATAAGGTAGGCTTCTGAGTCATAGAAAATTAGGACTGAAAAAGCTCTTTGTGATCCTCTAGTGAAACTCACTCATCTTATAAAGGAGAAAAATCAAAGCCCCCAAATAGTAAATAACATTTGTAAAGGATTGATAGCCAGATGCTGGTGAGCCCAGGCTACTTTTGAAGTTTTCTGACTTTCTAATCTGGTTTGTCTTTAGCACTTTGAGGGTTGAGGAGAATGGAGTAAACAGGGTGAAAAAAACTGTCTGCAGAGCAGAGTGCTTATCATTTATATCTGTTGCTTCCTTTACGCTTCACAATTATCAAGACATTGATTTTATTTTATAAGCAGGGAAAATGATACCCATGTTAGGAAATTAGCCCAATATCAGAGAGGTAAATTAGAGTCAGAATCCTACAAAATATGCATAATTTTCTTCCCTAAGAGAGAATACCTAAAATTGAAAAAAAGCCTTTCATAGTAATTCCTCTTTTGTGATTTATTCACTCAATTAATATTTGTTGAACACCTCCTATGTGCCAGGTAATAGAAATATATGATTATTCTGGAAGGCAGAGGAATTTCATGTGGAATTGTATTTATTCAGTTTTGTTTTGGGGGCGGGATGGTTACTAACTGTAAGGGCAAAATAAAAACCAAGCCCTTCGTCATTTGGTTTGAATGTTGAAACATTACCCATTCCTTAGTGTCATCAGTCTGTTGATTTTGGAAAATGAGTTTGTTTTTTTTTAAAAAAATCCTTTGCCATGCAGAAGTTGCTGAAGGCTTACTCCCCAATCCCATGCGTGCTGGATTCAATTTAACAGCTAAACATGGTGTACTTAGAATCTTTTTTTGAAAATAAACCTATCTTCAAGTGTATATTTGATTAGACCAGTCTCTCCAGAGGACAGGAACCATATTGGAGCTCTTCACAGCCATTACCCCAGGGCCAGTCTAGCACCTGGCCCCAAGTTAGCACGCACACATTGGATGCCACACCCGTGTTTTCTCAAACCTCTGGGGCATTCCCACCATTTGTAGCTGACCTCATGATATTTTGAAAATTGACATATGTGGTTCTGCAGGTAAGAAGGTGCATGATTAATTTGAGGCTTGCTGTCCTCTTAACAATGAATTTAAATTGCGGCGTCCTCTCTTCACTTGGAGTTTATAACATGACATTTAACTTCGAACAAGCTTTAGTGTTTTGTCCCAGTAGGATTCCATTTTAAACAGCCTTCATTTCTTTCCCAGGAATGTGTTACCTAAACGTGTTTCTGAGTCATCTAGGAGAGCGATCCAGCTGCGAGCAGCTCCTCAGGAGTCACTGTGGGAGGGGGAATTTCAGTCTCCTCAGGGCCGGCTGCCACCTTCACATTTCAAAGGATGAATCCTGAACTAAAGTAGTATTTTGCTATGAATTCTCTTTTTTGAGTTCACACTTTCTGGTGGAGACAAAATTCTAATTCATACCTAATGAATGTGGTCTCCCCATTGGATTCTTTCATATGCACTCATTCATTTATTTGTCCATTCAACAAATGATACTGAAGCCAGGTCTTGCTCAGATAGCATCCAAAAGAATACAGTAGTAAGGAAGCAGATTGATTATTGCCATCTTTTCCCATGCAGTCATCTGGGGATACAGCAAGTAAACACAACACAGCATGGTGAACTGTCGTGTCTGTGGTAGCACATGGTGCTGCAGGAACTCCTGGGAGGGGCTTCCTGGGGGAGGTGGCTCTAAACGAAATGTGAAGGACTGGTAGGAAGGAGATGGGTAGAAGGAGTAGGAGGAACAGAACAGCATTCCTGGCTGAGAAAGCAACTTACAGAAAGGCCTTTTAGGGAAAAGCAGCAGCACACTTAGAACCAGAGCACAGAACGTGAGATATCTGTGGAAATGGGGTGCCCTGACCATGGGGCTGGAAAGGGAGACAGGACTGGAATAGAAAGGACACCTCTCTAAGAGGAGACACTAGTGGGAGGGTGTTGGAAAGGCAGAAGGCATGATCAAATGTGTGTTATTAGATTGAAAGGTGGAGAAGGGATTGCAAGGGCCTAAGCCTGGAGGCTGGAAGAACTACTAGGCGGCTTTTATATAAACCCAAATGAGACATGAGGTAACCATGAAACGAAGGGAGGTAGACCAGAGAGAAATGGGCTGTTCTGATCCCTACCAGACTCCGTGTAGCGCCACTCCAATTGCTGAGCTCTTCATTGTCTTTAGGGAGAAGCAGAATACACATAAATAAATCGCAAGTTCAAGTGTATTTTCACCTCCAACCAAGGCTTTTTTCATAGTGTCTTCAGATTGCCAAGAAACCTTTTAAATAGTACACAGTGAGCATGACTGAAATGATGAATGAAAAACTTGAAGTTAAATAAAGCAATCTGTTTTCCTTCTGGCAGTCTTTAAGCAGAGGCCTGATGACAGAGCTCTCAACATCAACATGAAGAGCGTTTATTAAGTGTCTGTGTCGGGGGGTAGAAATTCAAATAGGTGGCAAAGCATGAGTCCAGCCTTCAGGAAGGACCCTGCCAGGCACCTGCTCCTTATCAACATGACAATGAGGGAAGAGATACCTGGAGAGTATGGCCGCATGTAGCTGTTCTCAAGACCAAATACATAATAGGAAAAGGTGGACGGGTTTAAAGGAGCAAGGCTGGGCTGTGTACAGTTGGAAGTTCCTCCTGACAACGTGATTCACCCGAGACCACGAGGTATTTTATGAGCAAAGTTACAACGTGTGATATATGTGCCCTTTGAAGGCAGAGTAAAAGGGTATGATTTAAAAATAGAAGTCAGCTTCTTGTAGCAGATTACATCAGCTGAAGTTGTGAGCTTGCAGCCTGAATGCCCTTGAGAGAGTCCTCCTGTGGTCAATTAAGTGTCTTGTTTTTCTTGAAAGTCAGAAATGAGATGGAGGGTAATTATTCTAAATGGAATAAAAGCTGTGTTAGGTGTAAGAAAATAGTCCCGAATCCTCTAAAGAGATAGTATGGAAATGTATACGTGGGCATTTACAGGAGTCTGAGTCCTCATAGACAAGGACAAGCGAACCAGTGTTTTAAGGAGGGCCATTCATTAAACGGCTAATGAAATCCTACAGCATTTGTCTAGTGTTTCATCACCATAATTCAAAAGGATAGCTAAAAGTTATTATAGAAAATAGTGATACACACTGGTATTTGCAGGTGTGTATTTAAAATAGTGTTAGGTTTTGGAGACCTGTTTATGACTAATCATATTATCAAAGGATGTGTTATGATGAGAAGGCTTATTAACAAATGTTGGTGGCTTACTAGGTGGGACCTTATTAGGGCCATCAGTCAGTGGTGTTCCAGTGTCCTGATTGTGAAAGTTTGGGTCTATAGCACTTGGTCAAGGACTGGTAAACAGCAGTATTGATATAGGGGGTGGGTTTCCTGTGAACAAAGACTTGGGTTAATTAATTTGACAGTATCATTAATTACTGCTGAAATCATTGGTCTTTGTCAGAGGTCAGGCTCTTTCAGCAATTGAGGGCAAGTCCCGTGAGAGTTGGACACACTGTGTAATGCAAGAGTGTCACTGCTCAACCATCTCAGGCTGTGGGATGGAGGCCTTTCCTTTCTGCCTGGGTCACTCAGCTCTCTGGATTAACCAGTTTCTGCTTTACTTCCCTGTCTAGGGTGAGGCTGGGATATCTCCCCACTACCCCAGTGAGTTGTGTTGAGTGAGTGGAGAACATTTTCAGTTTGGATCCATGCAGTGAACCACTGTTAAATGTTTAAGCGCTAATAACTCTCAGGGCTTTGCTGAATTCATATATAAAGGAGGTAGAGTAGAGGGCTTACTGCATTATCTCCTCTTCCTCTTCTAGTTCTAGAATTCTACACACTGGATTGACTTTTATGAGGACAATTACT